TGCTCAGAATACGTCAATGTTTTAATGTTTTTTTACAATTCTAATGACTCAGTCAGCGAGTTAGTAAAATCCCTTATCAAATACGATTAAACCTACACATTGTACAATATTAAAAACGTAATAACAGCTTAATAGTGACTTATATTGCCACCAGTTTTTTAAAAATCGGCTAACATTGTATACCCCGTTTTTTAATAACACACTCCGTCGCTAAATGAGTGTGTAAAAAGGAAGTGATAACTTGTTAATTGTCACTTTGACACCTGTTACGTTTATTAAATAAAACAATACACGATAGATGGCGTTTGCGATCGCGTGAGAAACATTGCAATGTTGACTTTTATCATAGACAATTTGCATACTTTTAATTTAATAATTGCACCGATTAATGATAAACTACGTGTCGAATAATTGATAGTATTTGTATTCAATTATGGAGTAATATTGAACTGCAATGGCTAGTAATTTGAGTTGATGTTTAAAGTTTTCAGCCTCTCTGGTTGACAAGTTGCCAAAGATTCCGTTCTGGCCACTAAGAATATGGCTATATTTAAAAAAAGAATAACAAGGTATTAATTTTATGCTAATGTAAATATTAAAATCACAATGAAATAAAGAAGCTAAAAATTTAATTGTACTAAACATTTTGAGTCAAATATTTTTTTCTTAGATGTCGCCTGTTGGTTGAACGTCTGGTCTAGTTTTATAAACTAAGAATTCAATTACAAGAAATAAAATTCTTGTTTCTAAATGCATATTCTCTAGAGGACAGGAACGCGAAAGTATCGCGAACTTGACTCAATTCTTTTTCGGGCCAAGTTTATTTATAGCCTGTGGCAGCGCTCGAATTTTTTTACCGCCCTTTTTATGGATGTTTATTCTCGCGCGGATAAAATGTGGGACGTGAACTTGCTCTCTTTTTTTGCGACGTTAATTTATTTTGAATTTTTAAAAAAGCTTCTGTTATTGTTTAAAATTTATTGAATATCTCAAACATCATTTGTGTATCAGAAGTTACTTTGTTCTGAAATTTCACTACAAATAAAATAACAAAGATGCCAACTTTATATTCTCAGTTTATTAACAACTTTTCTTATGGGAGTTTAAAAATAACTCATCATCAACTTGCCCTTATCCCTTATGGGGGGTCGGCACAGTATGTGCTGCACTTCCATACATCTCTATCAGCTGTCATATCTGAATCCACTCCTTTCTTAAGCATATCCCCTTTCACACAATCCATCCATACTTTCTTCGGTCTTCCTTTTCCTTTGTAGCCATCCACATTCAATCTCAACACTTTCTGGTTCATGTCTCAATCGTCTCGTTGTATAACATGTCCATACCACGCTAACCTTTTCCTTCTCAATTTAAAAAACGCATAACGCATTTTTTATAGTTTCAAAATAACTAAAGACTTAAAATATAACATTTTATTATTATAACATTATTATATTTCCCACGGATGATTTATTTCGAAACTAGTTAACTGGAAAACTCGTTGCCTGGTGCAACGTCATTCGCTAAAGCCTACGCTAGAAAAGTCTCACAAAGTTGAACCTAAAACATTATTGCGTTAGATATTCCTGTGCGCCCATGGGTCAGTGGGCATCTGTAGAGGCATCCACATCACATTACTTTTTATATATTATATATTTAAACCATACATAGATAATATCGGTAATGTTCTAGTAAACATGAGGTAATTTTCACAGAAACTATTTGACTGCATTGCATCTAAAAATTACCAGTCCTAAAAACGAATACGACCAAATCAAATTAAACCCTTACTTCTGTGTACTGTCTAGCACGTTTTCATCATTTCAAAATCCCAGAATAAACAACCTTTTTAGATTTCGTGTAACATAAAAAAAAATATTAACGAAAAAAATCAAAGCGTTTTCTAAATCGTCTATAAGGGGTTGACGTAATATTTCCTAATAGAGCGATAATGGCCGGTGCTGGAATAATTTAGGCCAAAATTATGGACTTTGCATATTTCATTTGCTTTTTTTAGTCGGTAAAGCGCTTCATTTTTTATGTCGCTAATTACCGCTAGAGGGGTGGGTTGTACGTGCCAGTTTGCTATTTTTATTCAAATTCGAAATAACTGGGACACTTAATTTGAACCTTAGTAACACACTTAGAATCGTGTATTGGGCAGTTTCTCCATGTGTAAATTTAAATTTGGAAGTCTTCATTAAGTTTTTAAGTAATGTCTATATGTCTCTGAGTACGGATGTTAAAGGTAAATTAACTCTAATTTACCTTTAACATAAGAAACATAAATCATTACATTAACTGTGTATCAAACTATTAATTTTTTCTGAATAGATTTTTTTAATAAATCTAGACACATATTTGTATTGTGTAAAAATTATTACAATGTAAAGCAATACTGCAGAAATTACCATTTTACTTCCAAAACGTAATGTTATGCGTACAAGCCTCTCTAAATACAAATTGCAGAGCTAAGACCATATTTAATCATCGATAGTTATAACTTATGCTTTCCGGGTACGGAACCTTAGACCCCGGCTTACCGTATCAAAAGCATAAATTCTTTGCAATTTCTTCGTTGCGTGATCGAAATGTCTAGTTCCACTTTCTAACACGCGTGAAAGGGTTACACTTCTGGCCAATATTAACTACCCAGTTTATTTTATAAATAGTTTTCATTTAATTTTTAAACATAAAAACTATATTTTAATAAATAGATACAAGACAGTGTTGAATATACTGGGGCTTTGTTTGCTGTTTTTACTTATTTTACGAGTGTGAAATATTCTTAATAAGAAAAATCTTGACTACGAAAAATTGGGACGATCCTATTCTCTTATTTATCACGATTTTAACAGTTTTAATGCACCTTACATTGTGTAATATTTTCGTTCAGATTTCTAAGTAAAATTAAACTAAGAAAATAACAAGATTTAATTGTAATTTTAACAACAGGAAGCGATATAAGGCACAGAAGGATAAATTAATTGTTTATAGCAATTAAAACCATAAATTCGACTGTAGACGTGCATTTGTATAAATAAATCTCGGTATATTTTCCTGTTGTCTTGCTGAAAAATAAATTTAATTATTTCTAAACATATATGCGATAAAAATATATATTTTTCATTAATTGTAAACGGATGTTTTTGTCCCTATTTTCCTTCCCGAAACCAATCATTATGTCCGAGGACTTAAATGTGTGAGGACGTATTTTCATTTTTAGTTAACAGTGGTAGTTATACAAAATGTTGGTCAACATGTGGGGATATAACTTGATGCCAAATACAAGATTTGTGCCGGAGGTAACTTTTTAATTAAAATAAAAAAAAATAATGTGACTAAAGTAAACTTATTATGCACTTAACCTTATCTTGTTACCAATCTTATAACAAATTTTTCGTAGACAAAATTTTGTTGAATTTTTCTTCAACTACCTTCATGAATTTATTGATTAGTTGCAATTTTGGTTATATTCATTTTAAATTGTGTCATGAAATTTACAAAAACCATATTTTTGTACTAAATTTATTCATCACAAAGAATTAAGCATTAAATGCTAAATATAATCATACATCTCAGGAGTTAATGGATTGAAAATTTATTTTTATTAAAAATAAAGTGTGGTTATATTTTATGGCCATCATTATACTATTGCGTGTCTAAAGCAGTTTCTTTGCAATCGCACAGAACGAAGGGTTTTCAATAAAATATACCAGCGCGTATAAACTGTGCGGAGTCAAGATTGTGCTAAGATTACATTTTACATAAATGACAAGCGCTATAAAACTATATGTGTAATCAAATATATGATAATTACCGATAGTAATGCGTTCCAATAGTGTTGTCGCTTCGATAATCGAGGAACTATCGATAAAAATACCTAAAAAGTTTTGACAACCCTATATTAACTATGGTGTCGTTTTCTTTGTAAAGAAAAAACTTCTCTTGGTCGAATTGAAATCCATTAGTCAGGAACCAATGGTACACAATAAAAAATAAGTAGTTATTATAATTAACATAGAGTATTAAAAGGTGTCAAGGAAAATTACCAAATACAGCTTCCCCATTTCTACGTCTTTTACATTAAAGCAGTATTTATAAATATCTATAAAAAATTACCCCATAATGTACTTTAATATTTTTAAGACAAATTCCTACTTATGAAACATAACTAAAATCGCATTCATAACAGCTAATAGTCTATAAAAAACATAACGTGTGAGCTAAGTAGAGCTGTAAATAATATTAAGTTCCTATAATTCCGCCTTATCTGACTTACGGGTCGAAAGCAATTTCTTTGCCATGGCGAAATTATAGTACGGCTAGTGCGAAACTTAACACCAAACACATATAATGTGGGCTACACACGTACCGAGCGACCGGAGATATCGCGCCTCGACGGTGTGCAACCGCCTTATTTACTTGTCACATACGCTATATCAGTATAATTCGAGTCTAATTTATTCAACAAAAATTAGACGTTATTTATTGTTTTTCGAAATAAATAAACTATTATTCGAGATCGTAACTAACGTATGCTTTGAATCTTACAATTGTTGTTATTGATAATATTTTATAATGTGTTCTCACCTTATTATCAGCCGAATACTGAAACTACGTTTTGTATGCACCGTTTACAAGACAGAGGTCAAAATTTTACTGAATTTGAAGTTCAAGCGTGGATACAAACGCTGTTACATATTTCAATGTCGTTTCAGTAATCGGCCAAAAGTGTTCTAAATAATAATTGAAAGTAGAAGAACGGAACAAACAACGCATTAGTATTTTAGAAACATTGATTAAAGAAATCTATAACTATACTGCAGTTGCAACTTTTATACCTAGAGTGTAATTAATTAGGACTCGAATGCAAAGCAAATTCAAAAAAATAAGCACATGCGACAAAAACATCAAGTTGACTAAATCTTAAAAATCGTAGTTCATTTACGACGTCACATCGTTCAACCAACTGGCAATCAACTATTCCGTTGTTACAGATCTTCATGCACAAGAACGCAATGCAGATGCACGCGCGAGAGCTGCAGCGTGGGCTGGGGGGCGAGGTGAAGCCCCACCAGTGCCAGCAATGCCTCAAATCCTTCAGCTCAAACCACCAGCTCGTCCAGCACATAAGAGTCCATACGGGAGAGAAACCATACAAATGCTCATATTGTGACAGACGCTTCAAACAGCTAAGCCACGTACAGCAACATACCAGACTGCATACAGGTTGGTTTTTCTCTTTTTAATTCATATAATGTAACTGGCCAGATTTTTTTTTTTGGATTCACATAACCCATATATAAAACCCCGTGTTATTGTCCCAATAAATGAATTAATGACAAGTTTTAATTTACATGAATTTAATATTTTAATTATTTTCCTGTTTTATTTTTAAATTAAATATATACTCCATAGTGAATAAGTAAACATAAAACATGACATAAGGTAAACGTATAAGACCGATACAAATATTTATATTTTTATACTATAAAACAAATAAGTGCATAATAAAAGCGCGCGAATCGCGACATCAGAATTCCAAATTTAAAATCGTCGGAGCGTTTTAAAACGTGTTCGCGCCGAGAAATAGTTTGGAATTAGTAGCGGCGCAACGCTCTGGAACAACTTTTATAATTAAAAACTACGTAACACCATTGGTGCGAGTTTCCACGGGAAAAAACTCGCGATGCCGTATACGTGAAAAGCGGGAAAAAAAAATCGTCCAATGGTCGCTTGGAGCGCTGCGAGCGACCGATCGCCCCGCCCGCTTTACCAGAGAACGTAAATATACGTGGCTTAGAAAAAAAAATTCACGTGTTTTTTCCACGTTCTATCTAGCCAATGGGCGGCGCTAACGCCTGATTCGTATGCGCATCGTAATTCTATCGGATTTCTAGTATTTTTTTAAATACAACACAACATATTTTATGTACTTCCCGGTCGTTAAACGAGGTTTTATGTTTAATCTAGTTTATGTTTTATTCAAAGGTACTTGTAGATTTATCTGATTATCTTATTTAACTATCATTCACGCCTACTTGATTATGGATGATTGTTTTTTTCCGTCACTTGAGACTTTATACTTCTAGCATTTGACTACACGTTCATTTTAGAATGAATAACATTAAGAAGTTTTAAAAACATTACAAAACATATCTAAATTATTACAATTATACTTAGTAATATGATTTTCAATCTTTCCACAACAAACAATGTTGTTTTAAAAAGAATCACACACCGGTTCAGGTCCCGCGACACAACCTATGCTGAAACTAAGCATGCATTGGAGCACAATATTGTAAAAATGATATGGCACTTACCAACTCGACGCCCCGTTCACCGTCTGCAGGTCACTCTGTCGGAACACAAAACCAAAGTTAAAACAAACTAACAAGCTGACACGCATGTCTTTCGCGATAACCATAGTTCCGATGAATTTCGATCAAGGATTTTGGCAACCAACGTACTGCCATACTCGCACAAGACTCCAGGCTCGCGCTCGACTAAACACGAGAGGCATTTCGAACTAGAGGGTAGTTCGAAATGCCTCTCGTGTAAAGAATAAAAATCGTTTTGTAAAGAATAAAAATATCCAGCTACCTACTTTAACCCTGCATAACATTACTGCGAAATTTAAATCTATAATTCACCATCGAATATGACAAACCCATAGCTGTTCCGAACAGGCTTCTTATAAGAATTTAATTAAAAAATCCGAAAGTCGTAACAATTCATAAGGGTTAGATACAAATCTTACTTCATATTTACATTAATTTCAAACAAAACAATGTTATATTATCAGTTACTCTAAGTGAAAAACAAACAGTATTACTTTTTGCAAACAAAATACATAATAACACGACGTTAACCAACGAAGTGTTGCCAGTACTAATTAAATATTTATAATCTATGCTCGCTAAATACCGGCTGTCGGAATAATGAATTTTTTAATTATTGTAATTGTTACCTGCCAGTGTCCACACTAAACATGTCAGGCGGTAGGCCGGAATTTTTTTAATCAATAGTGCTATACTGTTACTATTTGTTCTTTTATTTTAAAAAGTATAAAAATATATTTGAATTTGGAAGACGAATTCGAATAAGAAAACATAAGCTTTTTTAAACAAAGACTACTTTTATTTTGACAGACTTAAAATGGTTTTTAATAAATCTATATTAAAACTATACATGTAGGAAATAAAATACACTTATTTAGTTAAAATTAAATGTACATTTTTTTAAAAAAAAGTCCTGCGAAGATAAATAAAAAAAAGTTAAAAATGTATGTAGATACTAAACTAAGTAGTTAATAATTATACTTTTCTTTAGAGAAAATGCATTAAATAGTACATTGTACATATGTACTTGAGGAGGTAAACTAATAATTACACACATGCACTGTAATTACAAACACAGGCTTTCTATGCTATCATAAAACAGTGAAGACCTGCATTATTTATGTTAAACGAATAAATTTCTATTTTGAATTCCAGTATTATTTTTCCTCTATTATTTTTGGTTACGGCAAGGAAATTAATTAAACAATTTATTAAAATGTTGTGTTATTGTGACATTTAAAAATAAAAACATCCTTCCTTCTCTTTTAAGTATCTGTCACAGCGTTGATTAAAGTTTAAAACAAATAAGAAACAATTAATTGACTTAAGAAAAACACAAGTTGTCACTTTCTATTAATTAAGGAATAAAAGAGAGTGCTGTTCGAAAAACCCAATTTGAATATAGAAGCAACTTATTCCGTTTCAATTCACGCAACTTCGTACTGGCCGAATAGAAAAACTTCGATTGGTGTTTTTGTTTTTCCCGCCAATTATTTTCGACGAGTTTGCATGACAATGGGACAAAAAACCTTACGATTGTAAAGGCCTTTTCTCGGCCCGTTCACGACTTGTTTAACGGTAGAATAGGAAATGCGATAAAGGCGAGCAATCGTTTTCTACACTGCCGGTGTTTCTAGCGAAATGTTTCTTTCATTGTTTCGTTATTTTATTTACATTGCTTGGGGAAATGCTAATATTTGTAGTAACACCGCGGCCGCCATCTTTTATATTCGAAAAATAATATTAATGAATTATTTATAATTATATTTTTTTTAATTCTTAAAAAATATTTATAATTTTTATATACCTAAGAGTAAATAGAGGATGATGATGAACTTTAAATTAGTTTATTAATTTTTTCAAATAATTACTTCGTCATAAAAAAACAACTAAGTAAAAAGTCGAATGAGCAAATTTTCGTAAAGAATAAGAAAATAGCGTACCAGATAAGATATTAAAAGCAGTCCTTAAAACTGCTCTCTTGTAAAGTGTGATTTTTCACTGGCAGTTTACACAGGAGCCATCGTTATGTAAAAATTTTATATGTAAATCACCCCACCGCAGTCTCCCAAAGGGATTTAGGATTTCTTTCGCTCAGACAGAATTTTCCATTAAAAATTTTTCGAAAATGATAAGATGGATTACGTACTCGTATTACATGTTCCCAGAGGAGGTTTATTGTCCCCCTTTCATTTTTGAGGTTATTATTAGGGATAACTACGATTGTCTTTAACTTCCCCAGACTATACAACTGTGTATAATATCGTTCTCTCTGTTTTTGCGAAGAAAATAAGCGTATTGTTTTTATATTTCTTGCCATTGGAAACATTGAAATGTAATATTACTACTACTACTACTTTAGTTATATTCTCTATATTGAAATTCAAAATGATACAATAATGAGGTTTTAGGTATTTAATTAATTTTCCACAAAATATAACCTTAAATGAAATAGATGTATTCATTTTTAAACCGACCTTTGATTAAGAATTATTGGCAAATATAAAATCAAACATGGCGTCGTTCGGCGAGTATCACTAATCCGTTCGGATATTGCATTAGTTTAATTTGAAGGAAATGCATTTTAGCGGCGCGTTGCGGTTACATACGCAGAGCATATCCGAACGTAACTAATCTTACCTAACCTTTTAATATGTTAAATAAAACATTTGACGTACAACCGTGATTAATGATTTAAAACAATGATGATATGATGACATAATGATGATGTTTAATTTTTCTCTCAAAGTAAAGTATCATCCAAATTATTATTATACTATCAAAAAGTTCATTGACCTCCATATGCAGGTCCTTCCTCATGTGTGTTTAACCAAGTCTTTGCGTGTTTCTTTTACTATTGTTAAGAATAGGTAAATTAAAAATGATTGCAACATCATGCACACATTTAAAAGTGCACATAGCAACTGACAGTAACGACATACGAAATGGTACAGCAGCGACGCGTAAGTCATTCCACATTAACCGCTGACTCACTCCCATTAGCAGCATAAACTTCATTTAAACTTCCACCTCTCTACCTACGCCAGCGCAAGCCGGCTTGAACATGCAAATGAACCTACCCGCGACCCGTCAGCATCATCGGCCTTGCATCGCGGCGTCGCAATGATTCTATTGATTTTCACTAGGGGGGTACCTCCTCTCCACCCGGCCTCATCCCACGTGCCCACGAGATGGACCCCAACCCCCTATATACCCACATAAGTGCGCGATACTGTAAATACTTGCCGCGTATCAGCCCCCAAATGGCGGGAAACGGTGCACAACTATTTGATAAACGTGCTTCGCCGACCAAACGCACTACATACATAACGATGACGTAATTCGAATCGTTTTATAATGCTGGCTGGGAATATTAAAAAGGAACGTAGGTATAAACCTTCACAAAGTCTACGATAAATATGTTTTTATCGTAAAATGTCGTAAAATGTTTGTGCATTTTTTTCTTAAAAAGATTTTAAACTGGCCAGTATTTCTCTAGACTCATCACGAACGAAAATACCGAAGTAGTGTTAGAACTACAGTAGGCATAATAAAATCTGTCTGCCACGACTAAATTATAGCTAGGAGCCATCCCGACCTTAACTGTCGAATTTCCTTCACAAACATTCTACTGTTTTTATTAGTTTGCGGTAAATGGAAATTTCTAGAATAATATTGTTGACAAAGTAAAAAGGCTAGAATAACCATATAGTTAACCTTTTTAAAACTCTATATCAGATTCCCTAAAGATAAGATTGTGACAAATTTTAGTCATTTAAAAAAAACAATTATGTACAAAGTTTAGATATTTCAATAACGGGACAGTTAAAAGATTCTTATTAAAAAACAAACTTCGGCAACAGTTTTACAAAAGGGCGAGGCGAAGGT